CTTTTAAAACATTTATACATCCAAAATTCAAACCAGATTAACAAAAGCGATGTTGAAGAAAATGATCGTGCTGAACTTGGCATTCCCTTTCCAGAATATCCTCCCCATAGCACCAACTGCAATGACATTCCCAACTACAGCGATGATGGAGCAAACAATGAGCGTGACTCCCAGAAACTGATCTAGATGGGGCAGCATCTTGTCCTGATCGTAACGGGGGTCTTCAATACTCATACTACCGTCAAGCTGCATGGTAGTGATCACTAAACACCGTAATTTTAGAAATTATTTGTTTATTAAGAAGACGAGATTAATTAGACTTGTTAAAGAAAGAATGTAGTTTTTAAGCAAATGAATGCCATATAAGATAAAATAACAATATGAAAACTAGCTCATTATTCGTAACAAGGTGACATGCCTGACCTTACATATTACTATCGCTCTAGATGCTTTAGTGCCAGAATAATCCAAATGAACCGTGGACGCGTTATTACGGTTACGCATGTGGTACCACACTAAATGTACATCATGAACATTAAAATGTCCCCAAAGATATGAGCTAGGGAGTAGGTAGTAGCAGTCATGGAGCTTGCCTAATTGCAGTACGGCTCACAATGGATTTATGAGGCATCGGGATTCGGGAGGGACTCAGGCAGGTGCTCCAGGCTTTATGAAGTGCCCTGTTATACTTCGTAACATATCGGAGTAAATATGACTTTATATGTTGATAGTATAGTCCAGTCGTTGCTAATTGATTGTACTAACTAAATAAACAATTATCAGGGTGGCGACGTGATAAGTTATTTCTCCCGGTTACCTTGCGCGGTGAAACTTTATCAAAGATAAACTCTGACAAGCTCAGGAAACAACCCACAAAGTTGTGAAAGCTTATCATTAGAGCAGTGAACCGTGGAAAAGTGACGGATTTTATCAAAGATTTTATCACGTTAACTATATTATCACGGCGAGCAGGCTTGAAATGATTATTGTGCAATCTGGCGTTGTTAGCAGGGGGATCAGCTATCTTTGCATATGGTGTCTTCGTTACACCCCGATTCCTGATGTCAAAATACGGATAATTACCCGATGTGTTACGTAGAAACTCATAGTTTGGGCGTGTTTTTAGAAAATTGAGGATCTGAGAAAAGCTGTCACTTTACAAGTACATTATTGGACCAGATGTGGAGAACATGCAGACATGAGCAGTGAACATATGATAATTCTGATGCTTTATACTTTCATATATATATATATTAGATGTTAGATATGATCATCATGGGTGACAAAATTTGCTTGCTAACTGAATGGATTGATGAGAAAGTTGAATATAATTTATTGAATTTAAAACACCGTGAGAATGTATCAGACCTTCACTTTTACCACTTTAACCACTTTAACCACTTTTACAAATTCTACCAGAAGCTGTACCACGCCCCTTCCAGCTAACAAACAATGATCGTCTCCTCACGTACATTCCATCTAAAAGTCTAGAATCTGCCGAGTACACCTTACACAGATATCACCTGGTGGAGGACCCCCGGGGAGACTCTCTGGCAAGCAAGTATATTAGTGTCGCTACTTGTTCGCTTCTCAAGCTCAGAAGACAGACTTGTGTGACTTAGTTCATCGTCAAGAAAACTCGACCAATGTTTGTTGCACACTTTTGATGTCATGAACCAGCTTTTGTTTTGAATTTTGTTGTCTGGGTGATCACTGTCAAAATATCAGACTAAGAGTTTTGCCTGTAAAATCGTGGCTATGGACACCTACGAGATGAAGGTGATAGCGATAATCACTGCAGTGGTGATAGCTCTATGTGTGTTTACACTGGTGATGGAGCTCCTCAGAATGAAGCCAGGTTGTTGCTGGATATCAGCCCCTCTTGAAGCTGTTGACCTGGAGAAGGGTACGGGGGAGAAAGAGGACGAGGAGGAAGCAGATGGGACTGAGAATATAGAACCTGTGCCAGATATCTCATCTCTTGTCAACATACCTGTCACCCCAATACTAAAACCAGAATCCAGATCAACTCCGGATAAGTTTGCAAAGCAGAAGAGAGTGAAGTCTGCCTCAGCAGTGCGGTTCTACGCTTACAGCTCATCCCGGCCCAGTTCTGTGCAGCATATCGGGGACACTCAGAACCAGAGAAAAAGTCTCACGAGAGCCAAAACAGCTGGGCATGTCAGACGGTTTGACAAGCCTAACGGGTACTACGGTGTGACCTTCGCGAACGATAACTTTGAGATGGTGCCTCAAAACAGGAGATCAGTAACGTTTACCCCCGCCTCCAAGACTGATGATGAGGGTGATGTTGAGTTGCCGTCACATCTTGACGACAGAGAACTCGAAGACGAGATCCCTGAAGACAACACCTCCACCATATCACTGGAGTCGAAGGAGCCTGTTTGCACAACCCCAGTTAAGCCAAGTACTAGACAGAGTGTTTCTGTGGAGGTACCAGCGATGCCTGCTCCAAGTAGGGCAAGTGTCTCCGTGGAGACAGAGACTGATCTACATAGTGTATCAGTTGAAACTGAGACAGAGCCAGAGCCTCGAGTGAGCACGGCTACAGATCATGCTGGGACGCAATGTGAAGCGTTTATGTTGACTGTCAAGGTATGTTATGCAGAGGCTGGAACTCAAACTGATGACGACCCTGACTTCAGAGAGGAGACAGCGGTACTGAGGGAGGTGAAGCAGAGGTCTAGTACGGGTACCCAGATGAAGACCCCAACTCCTTCTCCTCCTCCTCCACCTCCCCCTGTTTGTATAGATACTGCTTGTGGTCCTAGCACTATCGACCTCATTGACCCAGTTCCTATTGTTACCCCAAAACCTTCGCCGCCTCAACGTGAAGTAACGCCCCCTCAGAAAACAACACCTCCTAAAAAGAAAACATCACCTAAGAAAACATCACCACCTAAGAAAGCATCACCCCCAAAAGAAACAAACGCTAACAAAGCCAAGGGTAAAGTGACGAGTAAACCTGTTCCTGAGAAGCGTAAGATGGTGAAAACTAAGAGTCGGGGCATGAACCTTCACACTGCCAAAAGAGCTCAATCAGGTAGACTGTCTTCTTCTTCATCCGTCAGACCCTCCGCAAAATCCCATCCCATCCTGAAAAGCCCCACAAAGCCTATCAATTTCCCGACACGAAGCATGAAAAACAGGCCACCAAGAGAAAAATGGCAGATCGCTACGGAGAGGATTTACATGCAACAAAGGATAGCCAAAATGAAACCTGCAAAAAGTAACAAACTGATCCTTGGTCTGAAAACGGCGGTTTCCGAAGTGCGGAGCTTCACAACTCCTCCTCCCGCGGTATACGAGGTCACCAAAGGTATCCTCCTTATTTTAGGAGAGAAGGAAGAGGACATGGAGGGTTGGAGTCAAATCTGTATCCTGTTAGCTAAACGAGGACCCGCCAGTCCGGTTACCAGGCTTGTCAACCTTAAGGGAGCGCCACTGACTGAGTACCAGCTGGAGATTGGGTCCAAGGTGTTGGACAATATTTCAACCGAGGAGATAACCAAGGTTAGCACCGGAGCAAGTGTGCTTTACAAATACATGGCAAAGTTGGTTAACTTTAAGCCGTGATAATGTTGAGCACCGGGGCAAGTTTGCTTTACAAATACATGGCAAAGTTGGTTAACTTTAAGCCGTGATAATGTTGAGTGAGAAATGATGATTTTATTTGGTATGCAAACTTTTGACAATGTGAGAATAGTAATTTAATTTTAATTAACGAAAACTTTATTATGATAGTACTTAATCATCATATTGGCTTTTGGTCAGAGTTGTTTGTTTAATCGATTTATTTGATGCAAAATTTAAACGCTTAAATTGGATTTCGCAGTGGATGGAACTACAAAAACTAAATCATAAAAACAAAAAGTCAATATTAAGCAAAATCACCAACACAGCGATTGAGAAACCAACTGCACGCATGCACGGCCATATTATCGCCAATGCCACCTTCCCGTTATTTTACAAACTGACCAAACACCTGTGCGTTAATTTTTGTGACGATTCAACTGAAACTTTAGACCACTCTTGGTACCACTACCGCGGATTCTGATACGTGATATTGCTCGCTAGATGAATTAAACAGAGACACATCGTTCCATGTTGTGACAAGATAGGTTTCAGGGATTGTTCCTAACGTGGATCAATAGGATAGCTTTCAATCTAAAAGGTTTTCCTTTTTTTGAAAATGTCAACTTTTTCAGTGAACTGTATTGCTACGAAGCATTGCTGTATGTGCCCCGTGACTTAAATGAACTTGGACAACTTTTCAAATATCTTCTTCGTGATAGATTCCATTATTCAATTTTGAACGGAAGAAAATGTGGTGCATGTTGTCAAAACTAAATATAGTTATCCAGTTCCACTATTAAGATTCAAGGACTTCTAAGTCGAATAATCAAATTTATTGTTGAAATGAAAATTTAACAAATATAGTAGAAACTTTGCCGAACAAATCACCATGTAATTAAGTCAGCAACAATTTTATTTTTACTAAATTGTTACAATTTAGTTAAAATAAAATTGAAAGGGTATAATCGTTTTCAATTTGATAAAAACCCAAATTACCCCCAAACGTGACTATAAAAGTGTGCCAGGTTCGCTAAAGTGATTATTAAGCTATTAATTGGTCGTTACGGAGAGAATTTGTATCTTAAAATATATCAAGTGAGCGTGCAGCTGGGTTTAAAATTTCGTGGTTCTAGCATAATTTCAAGGAATAATAAACTAATAATGTAGATAAAGACATAAATTATGAAGTTTCTTCCATAGAATATGTTTCAACACTAAGTCATGCATATAAAGGTTAAGTCATGCATGAAAGCCGTCAGCCGATAATAACAATGATAGGGCTGAGCTCTCAGCCGCTCAACTTCTGTTCGTTACCTAACGGTCGAGGGATCATGCTAATCTCTCTGGCTACCGAGGCTCTGGATAAAGTCTACTATTGTAAACTAGAATATAAAGCAGGATGATTATACAAGATCTGAGGAACTGGGGTGAGAATCAGGGGATAACTGATAGACCTGACATGTTGCACCCTGACCAGCAGGGATAATATAAGGATCACGACACGACGTGCTCTTGGATCTCAAGGGTCTGAGTCTCATAGCTCCCCCTCGCCGACCCTTGAAACACTGCCTCAGTCTCCTCATCCTGCACATCATGACGATTGGGTTGAGAGCAGCATTGCACCCCACCAACACCACGTAGGAGAGCCCCCAACTGTGCCAGTACAGAAACTGACTGTCTCTAGGAACGGTGAACCCGTCCGCTATGTAGATAGTCCAGAACACAAACACGGGGATGTTACAGGCGATGTAGACGGCTGTTACCAGCAGGATTGTGATGGTCGCTTCCAACTTGAGGTTGTTGACGGATCTGTTGTTGTGGGTTAGTTTGATGGATCGTGCGATGGAGACTGATGAGAGGATGCAGCTTATACAAATGGGCAGGATAGGGGCTGCCAGCTGTAGTACTCCTGAAATAGATCTATATTGTCATATTTCGTCGTTAAAAGCTTTAAAGCTTCATCGTAATACAATATATATTTATTAAATTGTGCGTTTTGAAAAAGAAATCGAAAAGCCATTAATATAAATTGATTAAAACGATTTAATTCATAGCTGGTAGCTACGAGAAAAATTAATAAAAGCTAAAATACCTGTAGCCAGATCATAGTACATATACCAATTAGCCTGACTTCCTTCCCAGCAGTAAACATCAGACTTAGAGTAGATGAAATGGGCACTGTCGTTCACTATCGGGACCATTATCCTCAGGAACAGATAACAGGTGTAGAGACCAATTGACCACGTGACTGCGTCCTTACTGACCACTCCCAGAGGGTTGAGGAGGGTTATGGTCCTGGAGATGCTCAACACACAGACCAGGTACACTGACAGGAAGGGAACTATGACCCATACTATGCCCCACAGCTGACAGAAGAGGTCGTTACCGAAGAGAGCTGGTTCCCGGTCCATTGCGAAGCTGATGCCTGTGGGGATGAGAGTGAAGCAGGTTAGGATATCCACCAGGGATAGAACGAGGTAGAGTCTGGTGGGGAGGTCCTTCTTCTGTCGGATAAAGTAGATGAGGGTGGATATGTTGGCTGGGAGTCCCAGTAGGACACATAGGAAGCAGATGCCGCTGAGGAAGTAGTCCACAGCAGGGATGTAGGGGTGGAGGGGAGCTATGGTTGAGGAGTCGGGTGGGTTGGTGTGGTGGTGGAGATCGAACATCGGCACCTCGATACCTGCAGGCATGGTCGTTACTCATATTTTAACAAAAATAGGGAATATTATACAGATAGATCTATATGTACATAAGTTAAGTCAATATGGTCGCATCCAAGCCTTGTTCTAGCTGAAATCGTTAAACTGAGCCAACTAACAGTGGTTATAAAGTATACGATCTCGCAGTCTTTAATGGTTCAAATTTCAAAATGGGCCGCGCCAAAACACTTTACGAATGGTTATGGCTTGGAACCTTCCTAGATGTACAAAGTAACAAATATAGCATTACCAAAATCTTAAATGCTATTTGATCTTTTGGTAGGATACGCAATGATCTTCATTATATTTGTTCGTATACACAATAGAAATGGTGCTCTCGAACATTTTGTGTTTTGAGACACATGTGGTAGGAAATGCTGCAACAATTAAATGATTCTACACGCATTGTTATATATCTGTATACTGACTGGAAGGTAGATATCGAGATTCCCGCACTATATAGTGACAAAACTATATAGTGCGATTACCAGATATCGAATATAAGTTCTATATATGCACCAAGCCTAATCTATGGAGTTATTGTACTCATGTAGGGGAGGTTAGAATAAATGAGCCAATAGGATAGCCAAAAAGTGAGTGATTACAAGCTAATACCTAAGCGTTTTCAAATGAGGACACATGATATAAATGATTTAAAAAAAACCAAAATCAATATTTATAATTAAAAATTAGATTAAAAAATTAAGATATAGAAGAATCCTGCAACTAAACGGCCAACCAGGATAGAATGATTTGTGTTACATTACAATACATTCGTTTGAGAGACTTGATCGTACGTGCACATACTTTAATACTGTTATAACTTATAACACGTTTAAATAAAATGAATAGCATATTTTAGAAAAATTGACCATATGTTCCGAACGTATAATGTTGGAATGTTGGAATGAAATTAATCACTATACGATCACCATCACGCGACTGACTTAAAATATTTTGTTGGTGGTTTTTACGTAAAACCCCAAAATTTACCCGCTACTCTCATACCCTATGTTGTAGGGTATAGGATTTTGTTTGGAATTTGGCAAGAGTTAAAATAAAGATATAGGGTCTATTTCCTTATATATGGTAGAAAGAAAACTCCATTTAAGGACGTGAGGAGAGTTAGGACTCCTCAATAACTACATTTTACTACATTTTACTACATTTTACTACATTTTACTACATTTTACTACATTTTACTACATTTTACTACATTTTACTACATTTTACTACATTTTACTACATTTTACTACATTTTACTACATTTTACTACATTTTACTACATTTTACTACATTTTACTACATTTTACTACATTTTACATATTACTATAACTCTTAAAAAAACCAAACAAAACCATATACCCTAACCCTAACAATTAACATAGACACCAACCAAAATCGAGCCTCTTAATTTTGAAACTTAACCCAAACATCTCTCAAATTTCAAAATTCAAATTTTGAAAAGGTTGTTACCTTTTCATATATCAATATATGTTTACTTTTGTTACTTTATATAGTCTTACCTTTGATAGCAGGGTTTGATTGCATTGTTAGCCACTGGCACCAACTCTCGTCGTTGCTTAGATATCTACAACAAAAACTTCGGAGGTGGTAAAGACATTTATAAAAGATAGGAAAAGTTAATTGATACAGAACAATTTGTCATAAAAAATATCAACTACCTCAACTGTTGAACAAAAATGTATTGATATAAATAATCATGATTAATAAAATATTATGCAAGAATGCTCATGAACTAACATTTAATTACGTCGAATTCTCTAGTGATGAATAACTAATAAGGGCACTTCCGGTATAGTACTATTTCGGAGCGATTAATATATTGTTGAAGAGCAAACTTGCATTTTCATACTGCCCATATAGAAATATTAGCTGTTTTGGCGGTTCCTATTTCATAAATGAATAAAGAAATGATTGTATCATCATTTACAAACAACTTCTGTCACACTGAATGGATTGAACTGTGTTTTTTCAACTAATTTTTGTATGTGCGTTTCAAACTATAATAATATGTACAATGAATATTAATCGTTAACTTTAAGTGTATTATGGATAAATGAATCAAAGGTTATTCATTCAAAAATCAAAAGCAATATATCGAAAGATTGTCGATAAAATAAACACAATTTTAAAATGTTTAATCTTAATTACTTGCAATTATGAATTAATAGAATGAGAAAACATTGCAAAATGAATCGCGCACATCAAGTTTAACAAAAAAGCTAATTATGTTTATACCATTCGAATTTAATGATGACAAGTGACCGGAAAATATCAATTAATTGGCGAGCCTTGGAATAACGTTGGAAGCAACTTCTTCACATAGTGTCATGAAAGTTAGATACATTTAAAAGTTATTTTTTACACTAAATTACATTATACAAACGAATAATTTTCGAGTCAAAATAAAGTGTCGAGTTTTCTCATGATCACGTCCCATTTAATCACCCCTGTATCTTTTAGTTGTTAAACTTTTAGGGTAATTCGTTTGGATGGGACAAAGAATTTCTCCCGACAAAACATTCACAAAATGCGAAGTAATCAAATTATAGAGATAATATCATATCTGTATTTGAAACACTGACATATGTCTGTGCATATTGTTTGAGATTAAAGGACCAGTTAACTGAAAAATTTGTAGTCTCTAATTTGGCTAAGATTTAAATCAGCTGTGACAAACTGGTAAAGAATCGTATCGCCGAAAGAACCAACTCTCTAGCGTACGTGTAACGCGTGTTATTGCAATAATAAGCTGTGGCCTCGTGACGTCATAAAGTCCCTCAGTGCGCGCTTGCATAGCGTAATTTACATTACAAATGTTTATCATCGTCAATAAAACACGTGTAACTCACTCAAATTTTAGAATTATGACTATTACCCTAGTTCTCCAAAATCCTTATAGTTTTGGCTATCATCCTAACTAAAGGAATAGCTGATTGGATGAACAGTGCTCACGTCATGATTTTAAACAGTGATATAGGTTCTTGAACAGTGGCGGGTGAATGTACGGTTAGAAAGTTTCTGCTATTACAACTTATGAGTATTGCTGAAAGCACAATGTAAGGCCTACACGGACCGCCTCTAACTAGCCAAGCCCTGTTTACATGCCGTGTAGCAGGGGACTAGCATATGTGATAATTTTGGATTGTTTTCATTGCTTAATTACACAAGCAGGGAGACTGTACCGATTATTTTTCCCCAGTCCATGAAACTCTAACGAATTTAGAAAGGATACAGATAAGTTATAAATTATAAGTAGGAGTTTGTTCAATTCCGAGAGCAATTATATTTATAGCATAGCGAAATTTCTAACTTTAATCTGCAAGTGTCTGCCAGTACAGGAGACAAGAAGTCTGGCTACTTTACGGCCGTTCCTCTGGGACCATTAGTAGAAGTAGCTTCTATCAGAACAGTGCCGTGGGAACAGAATTCCCGCCAAAATACCCGGTCTACCAAATAGTAAAATTACTGATTGGAGGTGTGTACGGTGTGAGGTGTGTTTTGAATTAGACTTCCGGCTTACCTAGTTGTTATCCTAATTGCATTATCATCGGTGCATAACATAAATAAACTACTGGTAAGTTTAAATACCAAGTGCAAACGTGTTCAGTCGATCGACCCACTGAACAACTATAGAATTTCCAAGACCCTATTATTCTCTGGCCATATCGATTGTTAGATGGCTAAATGACCAACGTTAATCTATACAATTCTAAAACTATGAGCTAGCACTTTAATCTAAAAATACCTTTTTTATATTACTCCTGATTTTTACATTTCACGTAAAACATTGTCGCCAGAGGTTGATCATGGACACTAACAGCTTAATTTGAGATAAATGACTTATGAGTTTCTCTAAAGTTAACTCTAAAGTTGTGTAATGTGTAGTCCAGTCATTTATGGACATTTATGGAAATGAACCTGCAAATGTTCTAATACTCACGAAACTTTGCACAGACCTTCCCGAAGTTATGATTAAACGATTTTCGTTTGGAGACATTTTTTTGACCGTGGAGAAAACCCAGGAGGGCCACGCCATTATTGACCCAATAACGTAACCGACCCCTTGCTTCTGAAGGTCGTAGAGACTTCAAAATAGGCTTGAACGAAGCCGCATATGCATGTTTATATAGGAGTTATTGAGCAACACATGGCCTAAAATCCTTACTTTTCGATAAATTCGCCAAAAACCATTTTGGGCGTGGTGCTAAGCCCATTTTCGATATGATCGTGATGGAGTCTTCAGACAGGATGCAAAAGAACCGCAATTAGCATATTAATATATGACTTGCGAACAAACATATGCCTTAAAGTGCTTACTTTTTCAGTTATTGGCGAAAAACTGATTTTCGGTTCCAGAAATCATGCAAAACTATGGGTATCTGGTTAATTGGGCTATGAAGGCCCTAAAGGTTTTTGAATGTGTGCAAATTGTGCAGAATGGCCATGTTTATATACAACTTATGAAGCAACATGTACCCTAAATTACTTACTTTTCGAGTTATTCGGGGGAAAAGATTGTATTATGTCCATTTTTTACCTGTAAAATACAGTCTCACGAGCTACTCTGCGCGCAAGAGGGACTTTATGACGTCATCGCCAAAATAATACAAACGCTATTTACACGCGTTAGAGAGCAGTTAGAGATTTAGGAATTTCGACTCGTTGCTTAGTTTGCTATTTGTCACAATCTGTCAAAATATGAGGATAACTTTTTTTTTAGTTAACTGGTCCTTTAACATTAGCCCCGAAAAGGAAAATTAGACCCCCTCGAATCAAAAACAAGTTAAAGTGTTTCTTGGCAATGCTCAACAGGTTAATATTTGCAGCTCTATTGATTTGGGTATCTATACTAATAATCTCAAGATGTGTGTTCGTTCGTCTGTAATTTCCGAAAGTTACGGTTCTGGTTTTTTTCGGTATAGTGCCGACAAAACTCTGACCAAGCCAAATGATTAAGGTTTTTTTAGATCGGCCGGTGGTAAGTGGTTTAATTGATCATTTTGTGACCCATATTGTGATACTAAAGTGTCTCACGTACTCTCCCTCTCTACCACTCTCGCTCTCTCCCCCATAACAGATTTGCGATATAATTATGTAATTTGGGAGTGTACCTCAAGATTGGCTATCAAGTATTAGTATAAGATATACGAGGGGCACTCAGAATTAAATTGCGGTGTGTTTGGACAGAGCGATTTCATACTTTCGCACCGTTTTAACTAGGAAAATTTAATGTGTGTTTTCGAATATACGGTAATAAGCGCCAAGCGGGTTTATTCTTTTCAATTTCAACTGCGATAGTGAAGTCCCGGCTGTAGGCACGGGTTACTACTCAAGAAACCCATTCTTAATCAGTTTCCTTTATATATAATTCTAAGATACTAAAAAATGTTGTTGCTAGAAGTTAAAGTTGCAGAGAACATCTAATAGGTGCGATAACTCCATACTCTTCGGCCCGTGGAGGGGCCCCGGTTTGTCCCTCCTTTCTATTATCTTTATACCCTTATTATGGTTTCTATTGTGTCTCTATCGTTATTTTATTTACCCAGTCGGTTCAGTGTGTTTTGGTCCGGGCCTTGCCTGCTGCCCCTGCCATGGCTCTCTAGCTTGGACAGGTTAGACTTATATATATATATATAGCAACAGCTAGTAGAACCCTTTTGCTAGAAGAGAAAACCACAGCTGTATATATTATATATATAGGTGCTGTAAAAGTTTTCAAATAGTGCGATCCCGCATCTGTTTTAGTGTTTTATGTTTGGCAAATTTGGAGGAAAAAACGCGATTAAACTGAACAATGCGCTAAATTTGCAGCTTTTAGGTACTCTCAGGTTGGATTTTTCAACAGTGTAGTATTATAATACAATAATACCTTGGCTTTTGAGGGCTACGGGCGATGATTATTATTATTTTTATAAAACTTCCCGCCAGTCAGTCTGAGGTGACTCGCAGTTTGTGCTGATAATACCTTCGCTTCTCTTGCAGGAAATATATGCAAATTATCAGCTCTCAGTGTCCACGAGTTTTAGTGCATATAATTCCCGGAAAATATTATAACGTTGTGTTGCATTACACGATTGTTTAGTTTAGCACATCAAATGATGTGTTACAAAGTTAATGTATGACACCAAGTTTCCTGACAATTCCAGATGTAAAATTCTAGTATGACCTTATCACCCTCATAGAAGCTTTTACAATTATATGTGTAGGATAACTGGGGGTAGTTTTACAACATCAAATTCAAAAAATATGTTTATACATTGACTACAAGCTAAAATGCCTGCAAATTATATTATCTGCACGTAACTTTATTGACTCAAATTCGATATGTTAAGGGATCTTTTGTAATCGTAGACAGCAGTACAAAGTGCACAAATCTGATAGAACGAATATCTATCAATGGTGCAGAAAAGTGCGGTATTAGGTCAATAGTGCGATTCCTCATTCCACACCCATCGCACTTACATGTTGCCTTTGATCTCCCCCATTCCGTGACTCAATTCATTTTTAATTTGCCACTCTCTTCCCATTCTCCGGTCCGATATTTGGTATCTTATAGACTGTCATAGTCGAGGTAAATGTTTTTCAATGAAACAAGAAATTTCAATGAAAGAAGACATTTAATTTTAGCACATTTTTACAGAATAAAAAGATGTAAAACAATTCATAAAATATAATGCCCATTTGGTGTATGACTTTTTGTCCTTGACTGCTAGTTTAATTTTGGAAGGACAGGTAACTAACGGGGCAAGGAATGCGCGTGCCTGGAAGCTTTTAAAATAACAGTAGAACCAAAAAGAAAGGTACAAACTTTGAATTAATTCGAAAAATATTTGTAATAATTATTGTTAATTATGTATCTATTCCCTACATCTCACTACACATGCAGTTAATAATGTAGATTAAATCTGTCCATCAGTCAAATCCCTAGCACTCTTCAACCATGTCTATTATCACTCATTTCGCTTATTCTCCCATCAGTACATATATACACCAGTGTTCCTCGAACATCAGTCACATCTGTATAATCCTCTGCGTGGATGAGTCGAGTGTTAACAGAAAATGTCAATCTTTAAAGTTAAAAATTAGTTAAAGACTAATCCTGATACAGAGTACAGAGTTCAGTAGCGTAAAATTAATTTTGAAAAGGCCACTCTTTGCTGGTCCGTCGACCGATAGTAAATTGTCAAATCTGTAGTGGATTCGGTCGAATCTGATCAAATCTAAAGCACCCACTTTTAATTATTTACGCCTATTTAATTATGCCGATGTAACATTGTCTGGAAATAAATATAGAACTTACCTCCATGCTGGACGATTTCATTTCCAATGATACAAGGACAGAAATTATGGTCACACTTGACCTTGTTGTAACCCAAACACTCACATTTCTCACAGTTCTTAACATAGATCTCTCCCACATCGTAGTGCCTTCCGTTTACGGTACAAGAGCTGCTGCACTGTTGGAGTTGTGTTAGTTGTGTTAGTTGTGTTAGTTGTTGTGTTGGAGTTGTGTTATTAATAATGTCAGTTATTGATCTTTCTCAGGGCCCGATGTTGATACCTCATAGAACGCACCAACGACATCAAATGTGATCTGCTTATCTCGGATATCAAGTGCTAGCAAGATAAGGATTATTTATTCACATACTTACATCTTTGTTGATACAAACAACAGTCCCGTCGTTACAAGAACACGTATCGCACGTGCCATTGTCTCTCCAACTATCTCCATCCTGGTGGTGGTTTCCTTTGAAGAAACACTTTCGGGGACAGGATGGTTCCTTCGGGCACACGATCAACCCTGAAATTACCAATAAGTTCAAAGTTTTCTTTGTGAAGATAGTATTGCTGTAGTATTATATTTATAGAGAGCAGTTCGCCACAGGACGCCTCCAGTTGACCAATCCCTGTTTACAGTAAGAAGTGACAGGATATTCGGCTTAATTGTTAATCCGGTTCCGGAACTCGGTTTCTAGTCGTATGTAATTATATCATATGTTTTATGTAGTCAATATAGCATACTCTATAACCTAGATCTATAAAACGGAGTACGAGTTAGCAGGGCGCCATGATAGCCGTTTGTTTTCGCATAGTAATTTTTTTTCCAATTTTGCTAATTTAAAATGGAGTTGGGCTCATGGTACTGGTTGTCGGGTGCCTCCCACGAGCGATAAGTCAGGCTATGATTACGTAATTTTGCTGACAGGAGGGGGGGGGGGGGGGGGGGGGTGGTGGGTCTTGATTACGGTTGATAACGGAGGTGGTAAGGCCCATAAATTTGGTTCACAATAAATTTGGTTACAAAAATATTGGTTACCATAATTTTAGTCACAAATTTCGCACATTTTTAGTCTGCAACAATTGAAGTCAAATTTTTTGACTTTTAGTTTTTGAGACCATTTTACATTCCATTCATTTGATTTTTGCAGTACAAAAACGTAAAAGAATGTGAAAGCATAAAAGCAGTGGATTACACGTGTAATAGTCAAACTTCAAAGTAGTTCAGCAGTAGGAACGGTGATGTCATTATATTAATTATAAACAATGTAAGCTCAATATGTCATATATGGGTACACATACTCAAGTTCGACACTTACTATAGTTCGGCAAACCCTAATATAAGGTTCGACTCTGTCGAACTAAAGTGCGCTACCTGGACTCAAGTTCGACACGTACGTTGAAATCTCCGATCTCAAGCAACGAGATCTAGATTGTAGAGTACCGTACTCTACAATCTAGATCTATAAAACAGAGTACGAGATATTTATAAAGCGTACTCTAAGAGTACGCTATATAAATATCTACCACATACCACACTTTACATTATCACAAACGACTAGTAACCGAGTACCGGTCTAGAGATTTGGCTGCTGAACCGGAAACAGTCGGATATCAATCTATTTTCCTGTAAGATACTGAAAGGTTCCGGAATTTCTAACGGCTGGTTGCAAGATGTCAGCAAATTTTTAATCTGCCATTGAACCCTGTGATCCTATGATGAGGACCCGGCGATAACCGTTGGATAACAAGCAGAAATTATTTGTCGAACTAGAGTACGCTACCTGGACTCTAGTTCGACACGTACCGAAGTTCGACAGGGGTGATATCTGGCGAACTTAAATTGTCGAACTATAGTGCGTGTCGAACTAAAGTACGTAAATCAATATATGCTCTATTTATGCCGAAAAATTTAGTCACAATAAATTTGGTTTACAAAAATCTTAGTTAAAATTGTGACTAAATTTGTCGTTCTTAAGGTACGTTATAATATGTGAACGACCCCTAATATTTCTCATACCACTCCTAAAACGATTGATAACCAGATTTGGGGTCCATGGACGGCCTGTGCGTTGGAAGGAGGATAGTCAGGACGGTAATTTGCCTGCCTTGTGCTCGTCATCGCATGGTCACGTGTTTGCTATGCTGCTGTATAATTCTAACTCGCTGGTCAACAAGTTCAGAGTTATTTACAGCAAAAATCGTATCCTGGGCGTGAGTGAAACTACCTGATTCACCACTGTCAGCTAACGTGATACAATCAGTATTCACCTTTATCATGATTTGATACTGTGACCACCATCTCTATTCCTTATGTTTTGATCCGATCTGTATAACAAGCGTACTAATAGATGACAAAGTCTCAGGTGCCTTTCGATCGCGAGATCTGATCTAACAAGCTAACCTGTTCACGAAGCGTGCCAAAAAGGATACGATCCACTGACCTGGGTTCAGTTGTCGTTTTGGGATTTAAGCTGACTGGTCACCCAATTAAGCTGATTGGGTGCCTGTTAACTGCGTGGGAACTAGGTTCAATTGGGTTCAGTTGTCGGTCACCCGTTTCATATAATTTGCTCCTTACAGCCACGTCACATGCTCCTACAATAAGAACCTGCAAACAACTACTGTCTCTCTCACACTCGGAGTCGTATACAGCCTTTGAATCAAGCTCCTCTATACGTATTACGTGCAGTGAACTGTTGCTCACCAGCTAACTGACACAATGACATGAGCTCAGTTCAAAAGGCCCATCATTGAGTAGCAGGAAATATCTCCTCTGTGATAGAAAATCAAAATTACATCTCTCGTCCGGCCTGAGAGAGATTTTCTGCAGCCTATCCCAGGTAGATTCGCAACGAATGTAAGACAACATACTAACATATTATATGTGCTAACAGTAACTGCTAACATCAGATCCTTCTCTATGCCCGCACAGAATAAAATGCTTAAATCGCCTGACAAATCTGATGAAACTCTACCCAGTTTCAAAGTAAGACGGTTTTGGAGGCCTGGCACCTGGCAGATGTGGACCAGCTGAACGGAAATTCCTTAATTCATCCTCCAGCTCGGAAATCTTAGGGTCACCTGCCTCTAAACCATCTATATCCTCCACAGTCCACAGCCTTATTTATGCTAGACTGAATCTCACCTTTCTTTCTGTTCTAACTCTGTTCTGCTCCTCTCTCGATAACTTCTCTCCCCTGCCGACTTTCAATTCTGTCTGGTTTCTCAGTTCTTAAACTCTCTTCAACTCTCCTGCTTCTCTCTCGATAACTTCTTTCTCCTACTGATTTCTGATTCTTCCTGATTGCTCAGTTCTGAAAATCCTTTGAAGACATGTCCATGTGTTTGGTATTATACCTTGGAAACTTTACTCGTGAGAAGCCCAAAATTTGTATGGTTTGAGTGTTTTTAGACTTCCAATCAAATGTACACTTTATCCATGGAGTAATTTTGGAAAGTTTGTAAATTTCTGTCAGGCAAAAAGGCCAGTAAGCTTAACTTTAGATGCCAAAACCAAAGTATTAAAGCTCTTTGGCTTGCATCGAGTACGATACGACACGCAATTATACTAGAAGTGACGACACAAGGATCGTCGCTTAAAGTTGAGATCGAAGGTTTCAAAACTTTTATGGAATATGTTAAATTCTTTGACATTTAATCAAGGTCGAAATCTTAAAACATTTTGGATAGCTTTTATAACAATTGGACATTTTATTTCGGTTCGATTAACATGCTGGGTCCTTAGGTTTGGATTTCGGGGTAAAATACTAATAGCAGCTGCGGGACCATGTCATGTTATAAATATACCCAAATTAAATAAATAATTGGTTAAATGATAGAGGTTAAAAAGCGGTTAATTAATTTCTTCTTCTACACACCCGGTTCCGGTCCGGAAAAATCCGGCAAACTGAAAAATAGATTGATATCCGGCCATTTCCAGCCCGGTAGCCAAAACCCTAGACCGGTCGGTTCCTAGCTTACAGTTTACTCAGCTGTGGAACAGGGGACCAAACAACGGAGCCAAATCAATAAGTGGAATTAAACTGCATATAGCCGTCTAGTGCTAGCTTTATATATCGGGCTTGTTAATTTAGTAATTTTTCATATATAATAGCCTTTTTCTTGTAGATTTATAACCTACCAGGACGCGCGCCAAGTTGGACTCGTCGACGGTAATATATGGAACAAATATTTTACGAGTATCACCCGTTAACCTTTTTCAAATACAACCCAAAAATAATTATTTTATTTTTACAATTCTCAATTAACCTGGTTCACAAACACAGTTGTCGCAATCAATAACAATGGTTTCGCCAACATTGTAAGCACGTCCATCATGGCTGCAGCCCACTTGGCTAGCCCCCACTGGGTTAGCCCTTATCACGGGATTCGTGAACAGGCAAATACCAATCAAAGAAATAGCAAACTGAACCAACATAGTGTCAGAATAATACGATCTAAGCTCGTTCTGCTCAACAAAGGAATTTCAAGATGGAATGTAATAAATTCTAGACTAAATTCCTATTCGTTCGTCTTCTTGTATCAGTACGAGGTACGTATATCTCGTTGGTAGGCCAACAGACAAACTCAAAGCTATTGTTACGTTTCGGTTTTGTCACGTGACCTTGACACAGAGTTTTTATCGTTGTCGAATTGTTTTCAATTACATAAAACAACAAGAACTGAAGAAAAAATCAATTCTATACATCTCAACTTAGCAGGAGTTAACAGCAGTGATACATACAAGCACAGCTTTTCATGTTGACAATGCATTTTTTTTGGTGTTAACTGTATTGTTACATATGAAAGATAGTTTATGTCATAAATTCGTTAACTAGCTCGTTAGTCTAGTTAGATTAGGGAGTGATAGGCGCGCCAGGGAAAACAATAGCATAATAATATAACAGCAAATCAAACGAAAAATATGAATTTAGGTAACAACCAAAAGGTTCCATAGCAACGGTGTTTTAATGCACACATGCACGTGCAAAGATTGTTTTAACGTCATTTTGATCGGTTTTGTGGTAATTACGTTGTGTTTAAAGTGTTTTATATTTAAATCGGCTGTATCTTCGGTTGAGATGGATATTTTTTGATGCGATTAAAAATTTATTTCAAAGAATACTACTAGCTTCGTCCCTGTTACCACGGGCTTTCTAGTATAACATAATTCGAAAGATTATTTTTGTCTGTGTCTGTATGTACGACCGCCCATGTGCAAATTGGACGAGAAATAGGAAGTTAGGTAAAAATAAAAAGGTTGCATAGCAACGGTGTTGGAATGCGCACGTGCACGTGCAATGCTTGTTGGAACGGCATTTTGATCGATTTTGTGGTAATTACGTTGTGTTTAAAGTGTTTTTTGGCTCCGGCTGTATCTTCGGTTGGGATGGATATTTTTTGATGCGATAGAAAAAAAAAACATGACTATCATTATCAAAGAATACTATTACCTTCCTCCTAGTGACCGCGGCTTTTCTAGTATAGCATTAGCATTATCTCGAATATATTATTGCTATAAAACGGCATACTGAAAGTTATATTGGTCAATTATGTGTTGAGTATGTACAGTTTGTATAGAAACTTAGACAAATATACACCAGCGATTCAAGCTGCAACTTACTAGTCGTTACACGAATTATGAATTATATTAGGGGTAGACTGGTTCGTAGAGATGACTTCCTAGTTAGTTTGTGTGTATATAGTAGGTCTGTGCTGCTTCTAATGATGCGACCTCCGAAGGCAGACCTCCCCTTTGGAATACGAGCTCGGAAGCGGGAGCTCTGCCATCGAAATTCGAAGCACCTATCGAGAATGACTCATACCGAAAATTTAAGAAGTCGAAATTTTGTTCAAAGTTTTTGTGGAAACTACTTTTGTTCATGTTTCATGGCCATGCTACCCTGATCATTATGAGCCGAAAATATTTTTTCGGTCTTTTCAAGTCCCCCCATTTTACTTTTAGCAGATAATTTTTCAATCGAAAAATAATACAGTATAATACAGTAAACGAGGCAAGCAGTTGTTAAGCAGTTGTTAAGCAGTTGTTAAGCAGTTGTTAAGGGGGCATACACCAAATCTGTCCAGACCAAATGACCTCATAGGCAGTTCAGTGACCTTCTAGCGCACCGTTTCCACACCAAAAAAAAATTATTTTGAGAATACCTATTTTTGTAATCGAGCATTTCCTGGTTAGAGTGCAATTTTCGGAAAAACACAATTTGTTTCGTGGAGAGGCTATAAGTTCATCGATTTCTTGCGGTATCGGGTTGAAATTTTGCTCGCCGTCTTTTCACACCTATTTCAAGGTGTGTGTAAAATCTTGATATCGTATCTAAAAAGGCTGGTGTGTTATAAATTTTTAAAGTAAAAAAAAGTCAAAAAGCTGAAATTGTCCTTTTCAGGCTTATTTTAACCAAAAAGTCAGTCAGGGAAGATCGGATTGATTTGATGCTTGACATGAAATTGTTCTCTGAATTCTGGCGCAGTTTTTGATGCTCTCAAAAATGTTTTTACTCATTCATCTTCAGATCTATTGGACTTCAAAGCCAAACAACAAATTTAGTCACATTTTTCGTTTTTCATATTTAGTCACCCTAAAATAAATGCTTCCCTTTGAAGTAATGGGAGAAAATGTGATTTTTTGGCTTTGCAGATAAAAAATCACATTTTCTCCCATTAGTATTACTTCAAAGGGAAGCATTTTAGGGTGTTTTGTTGTTCTTCGCTCATATATAAATGTGCTAGTTGCGATTATTTTGCGCACTTCAAAAAGTCACTAGCACATTCCTATCAAAATTTTAGAAAAATCAGTAAATATGAAAAACGAAAAATATGACTAAATTTGTTGTTTGGCTTTGAAGTCCAATAGATCTGAAGATGAATGAGTAAAAACATTTTTGAGGGCATCAAAAACTGCGCCAGAATTCAGAGAACAATTTCATGTCAAGCATCAAATCAATCCGATCTTCCCTGACTGACTTTTTGGTTAAAATAAGCCTGAAAAGGACAATTTCAGCTTTTTGACTTTTTTTAACTTTACAAATTTATAACACACCAGCCTTTTTAGATACGATATCAAGATTTTACACACACCTTGAAATAGGTGTGAAAAGACGGCGAGCAAAATTTCAACCCGATACCGCAAGAAATCGATGAACTTATAGCCTCTCCACGAAACAAATTGTGTTTTTCCGAAAATTGCACTCTAATTACCAGGAAATGCTCGATTACAAAAATAGGTATTCTCAAAATATTTTTTTTTGGTGTGGAAACGGTGCGCTAAAAGGTCACTGAACTGCCTATGAGGTCATTTGGTCTGGACGGCAGTTGTTAAGAAGTTGTTAAGAAGTTGTTGTAAAATTTAAACGGACTTTAACTTGGACGGACTTTATTTGAACGGACATAAAAATGAACGCTAGGGCCTTCAGCGTTTAATTATTGTCCGTTCAAATAATGTCCGATAAGGTAGTACTAGTAGCGGAATATAGCATAAACAATAAGCTTTCTTTTCTTCTTTTAAAAATTTTTTAAGATCTGTTAAAACTTGGAAGAAACTGGTAAACTTAGTGATCAGACCGAGGATTGCATATTTGGACGAACATGATGTTGAAAAATAAAGATATTGGGTTGTTCGGGGAACGGGACAGCTGAAGATGAAAATACTTTGATCTGAAGACTCAAATGGATTAACTCGGAGAAATAGAATGGCAAGGATCTGGTGACAGGAGAAAAACATAATATTGGGCTGACCATTCATGGGTGTTGGGAGGGATACTGGGTCAGATATTGAGAAAAGGAGAGTGTTATAATTATATTTATAAAATAAAACTCCGCTTAACTTAAACTTTGCGAGCTACATGGGATCATGTGCTTACATACAATAGCAATTATTAATTTACCACTATAAGTATAAGGATTACGTAGAAAATTATAAAATATATGCGGTATAGTCTTTTGTGAAGTTTTCGTTAGGATTAAACTTTGACGATTACGATGCATATTGGAATCGCCATGATGGTTATGGTTGGCACTTGCGTGTTTTCACTTCCGGTAGTCAGATCCATGGTTATTCCGCAACAGAAGTGCACGTGCGTTCACGCTGGTCTGACATACCAAGTCGGTGAAACCATTGTTATTCACTGCGACAACTGCGTCTGCCAACCAGGTTTGTTCAGAATTTCCCCTTGCTTCCTCACAGATGATGTTTTCAACGGCATACTAATGTACTGCTGCGCAAAGTTACGCCACTGCCGGAGCGCGCCACTGCACGTGCCGGGCCGCGACACTTGTTAATTCTCCACATAGCCTTCAATTGTGGCTAACTTACAATGGACTATGGAGTTACACTTACTATACAGGGTAACTAAGTCTAACCATCAACTTGTAGAGATCAATTTTCGCAATCGGTATCCAATTCCATTTAGATTACATTCACGCATAGTTGAACATTGAACAGAATGAGATAAGTGGAAAAAACAAATAAACGAATAGATTTTAAGTTTGTAAAGGATCGTCGCTTGAGATCGGAGATTTCAAAATTTTAGGGAAAATGTTAAATTCTTTGAAATTCAATCAAAGTCGAAATTTTAAAACTTTTCAGATTAATTTTATAACAATCGAACATTTTATTTCGGTTCTATAGTATTAACATGCTGGGTCCTTAGGTTTGAATTTCGGGGTAGAATAATATGTCTCGCGATCTGATTTACTGCGGATTTTAGGGCAAAATACTAATAACCTAGGTGCGGGAGTATGTTATTGAATAATTAAATAAATAATTGACGCTTAGATCCACATTTTTAAATGATAAAGGTTAGTTAAAATTTTCCGGCAGCCTGAAATTTGTTCTTCTACATACCCGGTCCCGGTCCGGCAAAATTCGGCAAATCGTAAAATACATTTATATTGATATCTGGCAGCCAAAACCCCAGGTACCGGTCAGTTCCAAATTTATACTAATACCATACTCATGATAATACACTGTCATACTAAAAATTTGGTGTATCCAGGTCTAATTCTTGAGCCCATTAAAAGTATATGCAACTATTATAATATTAATAGATCATATAGCTCATTAAAACAACTGTTGAAATCAACAAAATTACAGGAAAGATCGTGTGCCCGGAGCTAGCTAACTGTGTCCGTGACTGCTTCCACAAGGGAGAAACCCACAAGGACGGGGATGTTTGGTATGTTAAAGAAACATGTGATAAGTGCACTTGTGCAGATGGGGTTACTACATGTGCTCAATACAGATTTTGTATTACAGAACAGTAAGTTTTGGTAAGAGGCCCTTACATTTTTGTTTAGCAATGTTTTTTTATTTTGCTATAAATATAATCAACAGTCGAGACTCGAGTTTAATTTAAATTCTAAAAGGATTTTGTTATTTTTACATTAATGACTCTGATTAGAGCCTTTTCTGATGATTAGATCCCTGAACATTATATACATTTTTTTATAATTATGTAAAATGGTGATGGAACGTTTTTGCATGAGTAAACTCAATTTTAAAGTAACTTTATTTTTTTATGGGATCTAAAATTGTTGAATAATTCTAATAATGAATACTAAAGATTAATTTCCATTTAACGGTAAAAATCGCATTGAATTTGACATGAAACAATTTTTAGCAAGTATCCCACTAAAACCAAAAAGTGTCTCTTTAAAGTTATTAATTACAAACCAGTATTTATTAATTGCCAATATAACTAAAAAACTAAACCCTTTCACTTTAAATCAGAATAATATGATTGAACTACACTAACCCTGATTCTTAAAAGTATCTTAAGATGAATAACGAATAATGATCCACATGATCATGATATGTTCACCACTTCAACTTATCACTCCTCTTTGTTTTCTCCTTTTCCTAACCAATAACCCGGTTATCCTCCGCGATAGAGACCCTCCTGTCGTCACATTTGTTAACCAGGGTTCCACGTGGGTTACTACTGTCCGTGAATTCCACTAAGAAGGCAATTGTTATCGGTCTTGTTACAAATCTTAGCTCAAGTAACAAGTACCGTGAAAATTAAAAAAAAAGTAAAAGAACCCATTTGTGATTTGCATGATTCACTAACACAAAATTAAATTTAACGCAAAAACGTATTTGTTCCTAACTTACTTTCGTGCTGAATTGGTTGATTGTCAATAAGGCAAGCACAAAAGTTTTTATCACAATGAATCGTCATTTTCCAGACACGTGCACATTTCGCAGTCTTTTTTAAACGATTCTCGAAGTGCAGATGGCCTTGCCCTGAACAATAACCCTAATTGCACTATTGGAATCAGAATTGGGATTGGAATAATATGAATTTATATGTAATTGTATTTACGATATGGATAATTAATCAAAATTTTAATCGGACCCATGATAATTGTAAGTATAACAAAGATTTCAAATTTGTTTCCATAAAAAAAATTAAGTACGACCGCTATATGTACCGATATATCGAAACAAGAACATCACTAAAGTAAAGGCCTCTGAAGTAAAGGCCTCCAAGGGCCTCTAACTCAATTTTACTTTTCTCTGAGTACTCGTGACAGTCTCGTCTACGCAAGAACATCTATCATACGTTTCTTTGCCAACTCTCATTGTCCCGATGGGTTGGAATATACTTTTAAATGTATAAACACACAATGTTGGAGAATTTAATGGTTATATGCTCATGACCAGGTTATATGCTCATGATCAGGTCGACTAGCTCCAGTCATCCTGCCTATCTAATTGTAAAACCTTCTATGAGGGTAATTATGAGAGTTCATGCATTTTGAATTGTTAGAAAACTCAGCGTAAGACATTGCGTCAGCGTAAGACAAATTGTCAATTGTCGTGTTGGATACAAAAATCGTGTTGGCCGTTAGGCAACGTTATATAGTTATTTGCTATGCTGTTGAATAATCCAAGCTGAGAGTACTTAAATGCTGGAAATTTTGCGAATTGTTCAGCTAAATTGCGGTGTTTTTGTCTCTAAATTTGCCGCGCATAAAAAGGTTTTAGATATAGGTGCGGAATCGCACTATTTCCAAAATATGTATTATCACACCTACAATCTACATTACATTTTGCCTTTGAAAACGAAGGGGGAGGGGTTAAAAATTAGCCAAAAAGTGATACGCCATAATTTATGAACGATGTCACATTATGATTTTATTCCAAGTGGATCAAAATAGCAATCATTTGCTCACTTGACTCAAATATAATTGCGGCAAGTGATTCCCATTCCGTGATCTTTTCTGGTAAAAAGATTACTTACTCTTAGTAACGAAGCAATGAATAAACCATAAAATACTGTTCACATATTAAGTAATCATTATTCACTTTTAATTCAGTTTCACACATAACTATTGTGTCAAATTTACACTAGCGTAACCCCACCTCGGCTGATTACGTAATATGTGAACGACTCCTTCATGGTAGACACAGCTGTCGCACCAATGTCATTTAATTTTAGGGTCTGCCCACACTACGCCATGTGGCGACGGGCCACATGGCGTGGGTCAAAAGGCACAGTGTGTTTAGAGCTCCCGCCATGTGGCCCGTCTATCTAAACACACTGTGCCACTTGGCGTGGATTTAGCAAGGGGAATAGAGGCACGGATTTTTAAAATCTGTGCCTCTATTCCCCGAGAGTTTCCACGCCAACTGGTGGGAGCTCTAAACACACTACGCGCCTCGTTGTGTGAATCCGGTGACTAGTGGCGGGAGCTCTAAACACACTGTGCCTTTTGACCCACGCCATGTGGCCCGTCGCAACATGGCGTAGTGTGGGCAGGAAATCCGTGCCTCTGAATAGAGCCGCGGATTTGCTAAATCCACGCCAAGTGGCACAGTGTGTTTAGGTTAATCGGGCCATGTGGCCCGTCGCCACATGGCGTTGTGTGGGCAGACCCTTACCTGGGGACCCCAAGCTATTATATGTATGTTCATAATCATAGAGATTTGGCGGAATGACAGGCTGAGCGCCGCCCAGTAACAATGTCATACTCCCACCCATCGTGACTGCATATTCCGTCCCCGTAGAGCATTTCTTGACCTCACAACTAGAAACATGCATGTACCAACCATTACAATCAGGGTGAAACGATGAAACAGATCGTGATCGTCAGAAAACGCGACAATAGACTAATAGACTACTTATAACTTGTGGCTCCCTATGCATTGGATCAGTAGACTCAGTACAAGGCGGCTATTTAAGTGATGGCTTTGTTTCTAGATTGCGACTCCGGCTACGAACAGTCACGTGATCTTACCTTACGGATGAGGTAAAAGTTTATAATCCTATTCCTAACTACACGAGGACATGATGTCGTTAAAGCAGAAATAATAACGGCATTTACTTGAGTATTTTCCGCCACACCAACCATTTTGTCACCCTATTGACGCCACCGGTTACACCATTATTATATTAATTATTGTTATACCATTAATATATATATATATTTTTAGTCAATTCATAAAAACAGAAGACTTTTTGGTTATCATATTGATATACAGTCAGCACAATCAAAATCAAATTGAATTGATGCTTTTAAAACTAAAAATAAATGAATATTTAAGATTCAATATGAGTTGACAAGAAATTTGAAAACCATGAGCAAGCTGCCAAAAAAAAACTGGACTTCCCTACAACTCATAAAATCATGAAGTAAAGCTCTCCTATCTTAAGGTAAAACTACTATCCACGTTATCTCAAGCCAGCTGAACTCGACCAAAATATCGAGTCTCAAAATATTTTGAAACACTCCTCGTTCAATTTATTCCTCCAGAATGTCCTCGATTCCAGCCCTGACCAGAACAACTGGTCCGCCTAACCTGTTGTCCTCCTTTATAGTCTGCCTGCCATCGTCACATATGTACACCAAAGTTCCCCGGGGATCATTCGCATCTGTTATTTCATCTGAGTGGATATATTCAGGAAATTAAGCTAGTTAAATTTGTTTGGATACGGATTCTAGCAGCTACAATTTGTAACACAAGCAAGTTTTAACAAGATTTTTTTCAAGCTGACAACAATTTTATAAACTTGGTATTAACCCACCTCCATGCTCAACAATTTGATTTGCAATAAGACAGGGGCAAAAGTGTTTGTTGCACTTAATTACGTCACGGCCCAAACAGATACATGTCTCACAGTCGATCTTGAACGATTCTCCCTTTTCGTAGTGCTTACCATTTACTGTACAGGAACCCCTACACTGTTGGAATTGGAACAAAGAATAATCTATAATCATATGTAGATTCTACATATGATTCTACATTGTAGAATAATAATGTTGATTTAAAATGCACCCGGAAGTGCAATCATGATCGGATCTTAAAAAAGTAAAAACAAACGGTATTATATTTTAAATCTTTAAATCAAGAATAAAAATAGGACCAGGACCAGGACCAGGACCAGGACCAGGACCAGGACCAGGACCAGGACCAGGACCAGGACCAGGACCAGGACCAGGACCTGGACCAAGACCAGGACCAGGAAAAAACTTACGTCTTTGGGGGAGCAGGTGACAGTCCCATCTCTACAAACACACTTATCACAAGTTTTACTGCTAGTAAACTTGTCTCCGTCTTTATAAATCGTTTCCTTGTACAGACAGTCGCGGGGACAGGTTGGAGGTGTTGGACACACGATCTTGCCTGTAGTGTTTTGGAAATATATTACAGTGGATCTAAGAGATTCGCCGTTTTTATTTCAATGATAGGCTTATTGTGTTTTGGAAAAACTTGTATATCTGAGTTTATACTTTAAAGATTGCAATAATTGTTTCCAAGCGTGCTATTAATACACTGGAACTTCGAAGTTCCTCTTACGTCGCACCAATTAAAGAAAACTGTTTGACGAAAACAGGATGATGATTTTATTTGTGAACATGATTTCTTTAAAACGTTGATCACATATTTCAACCAGTGGCCAAAATGTTTGAAAACTTTAATTTTACGAATGCGAATCTCATATATCATATATCATTGTAGAGGCTTTTGTTAACACAGTTGAATAATAATTAACTGTCCAGTTGTGGGCCTAGACAACATGTAAAATGTATCATACAGGTCAACCTACCCTGCCTAGAAGTCCTGGATTATATATTATAATGAACCTGGACATATGTGGCGTGCAGCTCTATAAACCAAAACCAAACCTACGAATAAAGTAAAAGGATTAAACTTAATACGAAAAACCCACCGGGAGTGCAGGTGCAGTTGTCGCACCCAACCATTAACAAGTCCCCAATATCCACATCCTGGCCATCGTGAGCGCACCCCACATCACCCCCCTCCAGCATGGGGTACTGTCTTGTCAGGGGCAGGATCACCAGGAGGAAGAGCAGAACAGTCAGCATGATCGCGGCAAAACACAAGCAGTTTAATAAAGTCTGTCTCGTGAACTCAATGACAGTAAAAATACAAGTTGGTTGTGTCGCGAAAATTAATTTACTGGTGCTCTGATTTTGTTAGTGGTGTCGATAATTTTGGTGCGTATTGTTTGATATTTTATCATTTCATGCTGCTTCTCTTTTGTTTGATTTGTACATTTACCTCAGGAAATTTGGGATGGGACGGGTAGATGTAGTCAATGTAATCCCATGTTGGGTCATGTGGCAATATTCATGTCTATTTTAAAAGATGTGTATTATGAAGGAGCAATGACATGTGTTTGATAATTTAGCAGACCCTGTGACATCAAAAAGATGATTATAGGAGATTGAACAAAGAAAAACTTCAATTTAAAGGAATATGAAAGAATGTTCAAATTAGTTGTTCTTAATATTAACTTTATAATTTAACTCAAAATCCAACAGAAAGTAAATATTATCATTCATCGTATAATAATAAATATAGTACAATAGAGTAAATATAATACAAAGCTGGAGATCAACTCTAATAATATTATGTAATTAAGCAGTTATATATGTACACATGTTGGATACACCAAATTTTCAGGTTCAACCGATGCATCCTGATGGAAGATATTCATTATTCTTTGTTTATGGAATATTAGTCGTGAATGTTCAAGAGTAGGCACGAAATGCACAATATAACAAATCTTTTTACGATTTATATAAAGTTTTTCATTTAAAATAATTCAAAAAGAGAAGCATGTTAAATTACGCTATTTTCGTGAAATGAGCGGGTAGAATTATTTATTAACTTATACTTTTGTTGCTCATTAAGTTGTTTTGCACTTCATTTTACCCAAAAATAGATAAGGTAACTATGGAGAGTAAAGATTTGATAAGGATAAGAACATTTAGAGCAATCAAAAAGCTGCTAAAAGTGTTTAGAATATCATATCTACCAAATATCATAATGTGAATTGCAAACCTATATTATCTGATCAACAAAACTTACAATATTTCCTAAAACTAACGAAATCAGGGTAATTCAGAATCAGTCTACAACTCAGAAGGAATAAATGAATAATATTCTCACAATAGATATAAACATTAAATTTCTATTTTAAACACTAAATTAAAGATCCCTCTAAACGTGGGACACATCACAGCCACAAAGTCCAGGACTTTGGAAGTCCTTTAGTCAGCCACCAATCGAGCGTTACTCCAAGCTGTCCTTACAATCGTCTCCACCTTCTCAGCATCAGGATGCAGCACCGGGTGTATAGATCGGCTATCGGGCGTATCTTCGTCAGAAGCCTGCTCAGCGTACATTATCAGCTCCTGAGAGTTTTTGAGTCAGTGATGGTAATTAGTGGAATTAGTTATGGTCGGTTAGATAGCGCAATGTGCTACACAGCTGACCGAGATGTTCATGTTGTAACAATATACAATGTATACAATGTATACAATGTACACAATGTATACAATGTATACTTTATAGTTTATAGAGACTTCCGATAATACAAAGAGGTGCTTTTAATCAGGCCATTACCATTTAGATTTATCTCACATGTATATTGTATAGGTGATCAGGTCACTTTAACAATGAATTGAACTGATTATGTTTTGATGACATTATTTGCCCTTCATAAATGATGAATCGTCATGCTTAACACTAAAATTCTTGCATTAATCGGTATTCGGTATGCACTACTTGCAATTCAAATGCTTTCACACAAACTTGCAATCCCAATATTACACAAAACATTCAAATTTTTCACACGAACTAAAAATTATTGATGTTTTCATATTTAGGGCTTAAATCGTAGCTTTACTTTTTAGGCTTAGCAGAGCTTCAATAAAAATAGCAGCTGCGAAAATGCTTCTGCTGCATGTTGGCAGAGAAGGGTGAAATTTTTACCTTTCTTAGACATTTTATAGCTATTTTCACATGTCACATATACATTAAACAACTCCTGTTATGGGTACAAAACATGCAATATTTTAAGTGTAAAGTTTAATTAGACGAGGCAACAGTCTTTAAAAATTTAAAATCGCTTTAGTAGCGCTTGGTACATATCACACACATTACACCAAGATGAACGGAATTGGACAGTGCTGACAGTTAATCACACAACATTTAGTCCATGTAGCTCACACATATCACTCACACCATCACACTACTCTGCAACAAGTCTAGCGTTGCTCCACGCTGATCTGACGATGGTCTCAACTTTGTCTGCCTCAGGATGCAGGAGTTGGTGGGGTTCCTCTATCCCCACAATTGGTTCATCGTCATCTCCGCCTGATTTGCCTTTCTGGTCTGCGTACATAAGAAACTCCTGAATCGATGGTGGGTGCAGGGTAAAAGTAATTAGGTCGTGCTGTTTCGCATTCTTACATTCTTGGAAACTGTTTCACATTTTGCAAATATTCGCTAAAACATCTCACAGCCTACTTAACCTGTACATACTTTTCTCAGTGCACACATATGTCACAGTCAAATTAGTGAAACAAATTTTAGTGAAACAAATTTAAAATAACAATTAACATGTACTCACATGTGTCCTACAGCAGCAAGCAAATGTATTCCGGGTTCTCAGCTCCATGTCCTTCAAGAAACGGAAATCAATGTATTCTTGTCTCACTGAAACAGTATAAAATTATATCCTTGTACAACAGATCGCCGTAGAAATGTTAAATACTTAAATATATTTACATGATAATATTAATTAATACTTTTCATACAAAGTTACAACAACAAGTTATGTATCCTGGGTTCGGACAGGATATTATCCGCTTAAAATATGTCCATCGCGTTACATAATACTTATATAATATGTTGCTCTGTTTGGTGTGTAATTGACTGGCAAACACATAAAATAGAGGGCTTTCATTTGAACGAAAACTACCTTTATTGTTATTTAAACGTACGTGCTCAGCGCGAACAATATCAAAATATTATACTCGCGCGCGGCACATTATGTCACATGTGTACCCACGTGACCATAATAATCACAATATTTGCTTATTTGATGCGAAATAAGCAGGAAACTACGATGAAATTGCTAGGAAAACGATCAACCGGTGAATGTCCAGTCGGTAATCAAAATATTTTAGTGGAGACAAATATATTCCAGTGAAGATTTTACGAGCCATCTGCTCAAGATGCGATACGATTAACACTTATTAACACGATTAACACTATTCGGAATAGTACAGACAAGTCCGTTTTTAAAAATCGATTTACCGACAGAACCAGCTTATAAAGTATATTTGAAATTTTTCCCACTATAGTTTATAGGTGTCCTCTATGGCTGACTAACTTTTCCACGTGTCACTTTTGCAACTTTTTACCACTTTTCATGTTAGTCAAATATCGATAGTTGTAAACATTGTAGAATGCTGCAGATTCATTGAGAGTGTTTAACTTAAACGTTTCCTGCTAAAATGTTCACGTCAGATAATCAGTCAATTGGGTAATCACCAAATTTTTATTGGCTCAAAATTATCGAAATTGCATAAAACGAGGAGAAAAGTAGTTTTTGGTAAAATTTATTATTATAGTGAGATCATTATCATCTGTAGAATGTTTTAAAAATGCCCTAAAGACGTTTTATTTCCACCTAGCTTTTGATAATATTTCTAATATTTGTTCATAATGTCTGAACTGATATGAAAGTGCATAATTTTGGTAACTTCATACAAATATTTGTTCATAAAATCTGAACTGATAAAAAAGTCCATAATCTTGGTATTTCAACACAAAGTCTCGCTTGAATGACTTAAATGTACATCTTTGTTGGGTACATTTTAACCCATTAGGGACGATAGGGTCGTTTTTATGACCCACCTTTTCTAGACAAAAAACCAAATTACTAAACGCTATAACGAATCTATAGCATATATGCTCAAAATTTATTGGGCTACATATAATGAAGCCCAATTATATGTAGCCCAATGGGTGATAGGGGTACAAATTATATTGTTTACATTTAAAACAAATTTAAATGGTTATTAAAGTTTTGGGAAAAAAAGTTGTTTTGTTTTAATTTTTCATCAGTTCAGTATTACACTAATTGCATACGTTGCTCTTTTCTTACTCTCTTATCTTAGTGCTTATCTCTGTTGATTGTAACGTGCAGCTACAGTGGTTTGTGTATCACCGTGTTACACGACCATGACCATCCCGCCCAGCGAGTATGGTGAAAAGGAGATCAACATGTTAAGGGGTGACTCAGTTGAACTTCTCAGCAAGGCTATGTACGAGATGGAGATCACAGCAATGAAGCAACTATCCCCTTCGTGCGTGAAGAAGATGAACAAGAACACTGCGTGTGACCTGTTGCACGATGCATTAAGATATTTGGAGGAGTTCACTGGTGTCGTATCCACGGACTACAAGATGGCCTCAAACTCAGTTAAACATCTTATGTTCGAGACACAGGAGACCATCATTAAGCTGCAGTCAGAACTACTAGCCTGCAAAAATGAACAGTTGGAATCGTTGCAGACGTCAGTTAAATCGTCAGTCGGAGAGTCTGTCAAGGCTGAATTCCAATCCTTCAGCTCGGTATTACAGGCGAATTGTCCGGAATCTCAGAAGCCTGTCAGTTCTGAAATGATCAAGAAAGCTGTGAAAACTGTGGTACAGGAGGAAGACCGAAACAAAAATTTGATGATTTTTGGTTTATCGGAGCAGGACAATGAGGAGCTCAGCACCGTGGTCAGTGAAGTGTTCTCAGCAATCGGAGAGAAACCCAGAATCGAAGCTAGTAGAGTCGGAAAGCTCAAACCTGGCAAGGCTGTGAGACCAGTTAAAGTGACTGCGGCAAGTGCAACAATTGTTAATCAGATTCTCGCTAAATCGAGAAACCTGCGAGCAACGGAAAAGTTTAAAACTGTTTTTATCAGCCCAGATCGATCTCCAGAACAGAGAGCCAAGCAAAGAGAACTCGTCAGGGACATGAAAAAACTGGTAACTGAGCAGCCGGATAAGCTACACTTTATCAGAAACGGTGCTATAAAGAGTACTGATAAGACTAATAAGACTGCAGAATGAGCTTGTGTGTTTTTAATAATTGATTATTATTAGTGTATTCAAGTTTTTGTTGTGTGGAGGATGTTTTTAACTCACTCTTGTGTGCCCAGTCTTGCACTGTCAGTATTTCTCGACACTTTGAGCACACAAAACTGTCAGTTTTCGCGACAATTGTCAGATTTCGTTTTCAGTTCTGTCAATTTCAAGCGCTACTAGCTCTACTACTAGTAGTCTACTTCAGCTCACATTAAAGGGAGTTTTCGTCGTGCGTGTAGCGCCCTTCAAGTTTAACTTGGACGGATAGGATTTATAAAACTTCTGATTATAATATTTATACTATATTGTATTTTGTATCTATGTATTTTAGTAAATGGTCATTAGAACCACCGGCACCGTCCGGGCCCAAACAAACAAACAAACATTTTCAAAAAAATCCACAAAAAATATTTTTCGAATAATTCAACTTTTTTCCAACAATTTTGTTTGACAATGTTTTTTCGTCTGAAATTGGCACGTTTTATTTTATCAACATTTTCAGAACTTGGAAAAGCTTCGTCATCAGCGTCATCCTGAAGACATAATATCTGTCCAGGATCCAGGTCTGATAGTAATAAAGGGTAATAAATAATGATAAATATAATAAGTAAGAAATTAGATATAAAACAGTATCCAGACACTTTGATTACTATAAGTCTATCGAATTCTTTTCCTCCTGTTCTATTCTAACTTTTCTAGATCCTACTTAGCAGGTATTACTTCATTAGTATCAGCAGATGGCGTGGTTCGCATGTCAACGACCGATCGTGACCCCATTCCTTCACTATTATCTACTCACTACAATGTTTTATAATACCGAGCACTGTCATCTCTTAACGAGGTGATAAAGGAAGCAGATAAAGTTAGCTATCTCACATACCATGCCACTTATTCTCAGCTGATCGCAGTTATTCTAGATGTCACGAAAAGTTATTAATCTGATTCCAAAGTGTATGTGGAGGGAAATTCAGTAGAAATACAGTAGAAATTCACTAGAAATTCACTAGAATGTTTGCGTTTAGAAAAAGGTGCTTTTCTGGCAGATTTAGTGAACTTTATTGACTTGATCACGAGCATTCTTATTAACTAGAGATGCAGGGAGTATTATATTAATGACTCACAATTAAAAGAATCGCTCTATATTGAAAAATTACTGATGATTAAAGCACAATAAATATGGTAGACCTTCGATTTACCAAGTTTCGATTTACCGAGCGTTTCGACCTAAACTATCCTTTTCGAAGGTTAAATAAATGGTAAATTTTGCGTGAAAATTAGACTGACGAAACTTAGTAAACGAAGTGGTATCTCTCATTTTAATTCTTGTGATTTTATAACCTAGAAGATTTGCCCCACGAGAGGATAGCATATAAATGCTTTGCTACCTCTAGGGTGTGGCAACCCTTAAAGAAGAGGTTACCAGGGATGCCATTGATATAGTGGCGAGAGAAATGAGAGTCATAGCGGAGCCCGAGTAAATAGGAAAAATAAAAACCAAAAGAGGAAAGGTAATCACTCACACTCCTCAAGACGTTTGGTGCGTGTTGCGAAATTGACTATGGTAGGAATGAGGACTATGTTAAGTAGATAATCATGTCTTTAGGGATAGGAAATAATACTATCTCTGATATCAGTTGTGCTATGGCCCGGCATTGTCCCAGTCAGCTAGATACGGCATCTTCTTTTTGTTCACACATAGGTCATACCCTATACCAATCTACGTGTGGTATGGAGAATGGAGATATTAGTGTTATGTTGGTATGTTTAGGGCCATTATTTTACCTTTCCTGGTGAAGTCTGTTAACACCGACCCCAACCACAATAAAAATGTCTGTTAATTACTAAGTTACCGTATTATTACTGTTAAACACTTCTTAAAGATAATATGGTATTGAAGGTAGCAGTAGGATCATTCCAGTCATTCTTCTACATTGGTGTAAATAATTTTTTTGTAATTTGTAAAGTTCGTAGATTCCTCTACAGGGTCATCGAATAGTTCGACCGCCCTTGTTTTACAGTACACTACATTGTAGATGTTCTGAAGGAGTATCCTAAGATTCTTGATCTTTTGGCACAGGCACCCCTCCTCATTTAACCCTCAATCAAGTTTCCTATCATTCGGCTGAGTCGACCGAGGAGATCGCATAGATCCAATGAATCCTTAGCTACTCCCTAGACTGAGTGAAACTGGGATTCGAACCCTGAACCTTCTGTACAGAAGGCGGAAGCTCTAACCACTAGGCCACCCAGCCATTGTGTAATACCTATAGAAATAATAACTTACAATATTCCGTACAATATCTTGGTGAGACACGTGCAGAACCAAGAAGTTAACACGAAGATCTAACAATGGAGACGGAATGCTCGATTGTATCAGTTTGTTTACATCCAAATAAGGAGACAATATTGCCTGGTGGTTTGAAACATGTCTGTGAGTAGATATGTGCCCGCAGCTGCATCACATCAATACGAAACTCGGAATACAGTCACCTGATGCTAACCTGTTTTATAAATAGCGAGGAGATTCAGAGGAAAACATTATTCCGAGTAACCATTACCCGGTTACTAAG